GATCGGAAATGGTGATGAAGAAGTGCAAAGAGAGCATCTATTGGTCCTCGCTCAGCTCATGTAAATGTCTCTATAAGGGGAGTGCGACTCCTCTCTCTGCTGCCGTCGGTCATCACACCAGAGGACACCTTGTAAACATGTAGGAGTACTCCAGCCCTGTGACTTTTCACAGTCTGCATTTTCGAGGCTCCGTCACTGAACCAGACGCTTTTTTACTTTAAATAAAAAGCTGCAAATCCGCCAGTGCTGTTTTTCATAACGTGCCTTCACTGTTTGTTTTACTGATCTTCTGATTAATTAGTTCATGTGTTCAGGACTGTTTGCCACACAGCACAAGTATTTCTGTTATCGTTGTTGTTATCGACCAACAGAACTACAGGTAATACAGTCTGAGCGTCTGCTCCACAAGTATTTATATAGAAAGAACTTCAGATTGTAACACAACAGATACATGTATCAGTCCAAAATTCCTTTTAGACCCATCTTTGTTCCTATTAATAATCCATTGATTGGTATTCTTCTCACCTTGCCTCCATCCTGCTGTAACCGAATCATCTCTTGACTTAAATCACTTCTGTTCTTGTTTCAATCGAGCACAATGTTAGATCAGAGTCAAAGTCGGCAACGATCCCAGCAGATCAGCTGATCTTAAAGATAATTTGAGCAAATTTTAAGCCAAATCTCGTCTTTTAGGCTCACTATGTATTAATTTGTCATCTGTTTCAGTCATCATTACACCTGGAAAATCACACACAGGTATCTTTGCACCTTTAGTCTGTTCCACAATCAGCTTTGCAACTTATCTCCTTCCCAGCTTCTCAGTCGTTCAGTTTCCAACTTACCCAGTGTAACTTTGTTCATGCAGAAGGAAACCACAGTTGTCTTTGCCTACAGTGCCTCCTGACCAGATTTTGTTTCCTGTGCAGAACTGGAGGAATCCCATAAGAAGTGTCACCCCTGCTGGTACACGTTTGCCCACCGTTACCTGGTTTGGGAGTGCTGCCCTATGTGGCTGAAGGTGAAGCAGCTGGTGAAGATCATGGTGATGGACCCCTTCCTGGACCTCGCCATCACCGTCTGCATCGTCCTCAACACGCTCTTCATGGCCATGGAGCACTACCCCATGACTGATGAGTTCAACGGCATGCTCACCATCGGGAACCTGGTAGGAACAATGGATGAATGGATGCGTGGATGCAGTAAAGCGTGGTTATTGGTGGAGATATGTGGGCGAGAGACACATAGACACAGGTGCACCGTTCACCCAAAGCAATCACAGGAATACAGAAGCAAACAAGATCAGATATTTGCAGAACAATCAGCTCAAAAACTGCTGCTTAACAAAGACTCACAAACTGAAGCTACATAACAGATGGGGAAACCCCATAAAGGTAAAGGGGGAAACCACAGGGACCATAAAGAAGCCCCATTTCCCCCTGCGCTTATAGCAGATGGTTTATTTTGCCCTTGAGGCCTCTTTATTTATAGCCAGCCCCACCCTCTGCCTCCTCTTTTAATAAAGCAGGAACGAGTGGAGCAGCAGACAGGTAACTCAAAAGAGAGAAAAAGTAATTAACGCAGCTCATGAAAGATGAAACATCGTGAACCAATTGCTTGAGCAACATTAAATGATTATTTGCAGCCCTGTCATGTTTAAATGTGTTTGTCTGAGCTCAATTAAACTGGATCTGAAGCCCACGCTGTTATCTAATCCTCCATTTAGCAGCTATACATTTAAATGTTTCCTTAATGTTTAACTAATAGTTTTAACAGGTTATCCACACTTTAACCTTCAAGAACCTACTAGGACTAACCCCTGAAGTGGTTCCTGGTTATAGAACAATTACTGTGTGTTCATGAGGATGTTCTGTCTGTGGAGGTATTGTTTGAAAAACCTGGAAATGATTCTATTGGTCGTCTTTGTGGATATACTATGGTATCAGAACTCGTCATTAAGAATAAAGGTGAGGAAATCTGTAATTCAAATTTAAATCCATACTTTAGGTTCTGTCATTTTAGTTCATTTTAGCTTTTACATCTTTCAACTCTTTGTACTGTTTAGCTCAACGTGTTTATCTGCAGTGTTGGCTTCAAGTTTCAGCTGTTAATCATAGTTTAGCTATTTGACTGCTGCTGTCTTTACCAACCGGCTGGTGAGTGGTTACCATGGTTGCGTGTAGATTGTCTGTAAACATTCCCCGTTTATTCCCTGAGCTGTCATAAAATTTGAAAATGTGCGATACAGTACAAACCGCAAACGAAAAACGTTTACCTTCAGAATAAAAGTTGTGCCTTATCGCTTCAACCAACACATTTCAAAAGATGCAGCTTTTACTTTGAAGGCGAATGTTGTTTCTGTTTTCATCACACTTTTCACAGTTTCACTAT